TGGCTCCTCAGACCCCTCACTCCCCTCAGGGCCGTGGCTCCTCAGACTCCTCACTCCCCTCAGGGCTGCCCTTTGTGTAAGTTGTGCTGTTTTCTTCACTGGAACATTCTTACTTTCCTCTTGAGAATTATTTCCCTTCATATAGGATATTGCTGAAGTTTCCTTCAGGAGTAAGCATTTGAAAGCTAACCTTTTGTAATACAACTCAAAATAGAATTAAGGATGAACCCAGATATGAGAAGGTATAACTATTCCCCTTTCCACCTCCTGTCCTTAAGCGGGGGCTCCTTGAGATTTCAGGCAAAGGCTCAGTGTTTTAGCTCTGGCTTGTCCTAAGTGAAAATCTTCCTGCTTTTACTCCCAAGGGCCAGGATTGCAAGTATGCCACTATGCCTAGCAGAGTCCTGTTTTTTAACCAGAGATGTTTTATGCTGTGTCAGTACTGAACCTTTTTTGCATTTTACTTCTTTTTATTTTATAGGAAAGAGAAAACAAAAGCTATTTCAGTACGCTAGTACCCCGGAGACTCAGTAGCACAAGTGACATTGAAGAAAAGGAGAACAGGTAATCACAACACATGACAGGGATGATTTCTTTCAGCCCTTGGGTCATGGCAATCTGGCTATTATTCTTCTGCCTTTTCCCACAGATGTCCTCAGTACCTTGTGGAGTGCCTGCCCTTCTGCTCAGAGTATACCCCCACCCTTTACTTTCTCTGTCTCTCTCTCTGTCTCTCTCTCTGTGCCCCCCCCACCCCCCGTTCTTTACCCTTTAAATTATAACTCCAGCTTAGGCATTCCTGTCTGCAGGGCCCTGCCCCTTGCAGGTATGAGTTAGTTTTAGTACTCCAGCAGGCTCTGTAAGAGCAGTCTGTCTGTTTTGTTTCTCAAGCCACTCTGCCATGCCTAGTGTACTGTATACCACATAGTCAACATCAAATGATTGTTTACTGGAAATGATCAGCTTCTAATTAGTAAGGAAGTAAAATTTAATGCCTTCCTCATCAATTAAATGAATAATGGAGATTTAAAAATACTGCTACATTTCAAGGCATACTTAAACTAGACCTGTTTTTTTGAAGGCATGCAGCCCAGAGATGCTGAATCAGAATCTGAATTTTAGCAGAATTTCCTAGGTGACTCAATAAACATTAAAACCCATGAAGAATTGTTCCAGGCCTACAGACTCTGCAGCAGAGACCCCAGGTTCTCAATTGCGAATGTGAACACCTGTGACAGGCTCCTGGACATCTCAATACTGCAGTGCTAAGGGGGCACTGCAGCCCCTTACCCTTCTCCCTCTGTGGAAACCTCATTAGTTCATTTGCAGCTGGCCACTGGACAGCAGTGCAAGTGCTTTTTAAATGAGTCATGAGGGAGTCTTCATTATAAAGGAGTGAGGCTGTTTGGTGTGAGGTAGAACTTGGTTCTTGGTCAGATGAGTTGGCTTTAATGTTGATAGAAGAAAGCCAACAGTAGTATAAGAAACAGGTATTTAAAAAAACAGAATCACTTGGAAAATGTGCCTGTTTCTTTAGCATGTTACAGTTTTCCATTGGCTTTTCTCTCTTTATAGTCCCAGTTGGTGTAGGAATCTTTATGTTGTTGGTTGTTCTTTCTTGCCTCTCCAGAGAGTCAGCTGTTAATCTAGTAAGGAGTGGCTCCTACACCAGGCAACTGTGGAGAGATGAAGCAAAGGGAAATGAAGCCCCACAGACAATCGCTCCTTCCACTTACACGGCAACTTACTTGAAAAGGTACCAGCTGCAGAGGGGTGGGAGGGACTTCCTTCACTCTGGCTGTGGGGTATGGGTAATGCTTGCATGCTTTTATACCCAATTAGCACTACAAAAATGAATGGCTTTTAGGTTTCTTGGGATCAACATTTTCACTAATTTAAGATTAATTGTTCTTTTAATGAATTAACGTAGCCCATTCCAGTCCCCACCACAGACCTGGCTTTACACTCCATCCTTTTTGCCCTATTAAAAACTGCAGTCTGAAGCAGCATCTGGTGACCTCTGGGGAAGGTGGGGTGTGTGCATTCTTGCCTAGTTCTGAATTTCCCTTTTCTAAAGCTAGGGTAGTTTCATCACACGTTACACTTGAGGGTTGGGAGAGGGAGGGCATCACAGGGCGGGAAGGAGTGGGAAATGGGGACAGTTTTCTACTGGGTTTAAGACATTTCATATCGAACCTGTTAATTTAGGGACTTGAGTTGTTTTTGTTTTTTATGACTTTAATGGCCCTCAGATCCATCAAGATGTGAAACTCGCAAGTTTGGTGTGCAGAGAAGGTACATGGGTTTCCTTTGATCTCATCTGTACTCTCTTTCCTGCAATTATTTCCTTTGCCACAAGCTAGCCAGCAAGCAAAGCACCTCTGCCAGAACCATTAAGCTACAAGAGACACTTAATAATATTTTGGTTTGAATTTTGCTGCTGATGTAGAAGAATCTGTTTTTCATTGCTTACTTTGAATTCTTTCTTCACTTCCACTTAACCTTCTAGCTGCCACCTCCTGCCTTCATCACTAGGCTTTCTAGATGGCCACCTAGAAACAGGCTTTGGCTATGCCTTATATGAGCAGATTAGCTGTTTGCAATCAAAACTATTTCTTCCTAACAGGAAGACTCTAAACAAGTAGTTAATGTTGGAACATGGGAAGTAAGCTATAATGGAAACAGACATGGCTGCCTTCCAATTCTTCAGTTCTGCAGGTACATACTGAGAAAGATCTTGACTTTGAAAGTATGCAAGTACAACTCATTGATCTCAATAGCATTTATTTTATGTATTTATTTATATAGCCAGGGCATGTAATCTCTGCTGGCCTTGAACTCACTCTGTAGCTGAAATTTTGATCTACCTGCCTCTACCTCCTCAGTGCCCAAATTTCAGGCATTTGTCACTACACACATTTATGAGGCTAGAAATTGACACCAGGGCTTCCTGCATGCTAGGCAAGTATCCTACCAACTGAGCTACATCCAAGCCCACTGGCTATTACACAGATCAGGTGGTTGGGGTTTCATGAGGGGTCACCTATTTCTCTTAAAAGGAAATGGTTTGATTTACCAAGATACATTACTATCTCTTACAGTCAAACCCAGTATCAAAAAAAACTTTTTTAAGAGAATAATGTTCTAGATGTAGGAAAGAGAAAACTTCAATTTAGTTTTCAATTGTGGAATTATTTGGGAGTGAGGTGTTGATGTTCATGACCCAGATCCTCAGCACATGAGTTTGAGTGGCTTTGGTTTGATGTAGTTTGGGCAAAGCTATAGTGAACACAAAAAGAAAGGGCTAACATGAGCACTTTGTGAGAAAAGATCTGCAACTTGCTGGATGCCTTAGATTTTTAGCGCTCATTTTCTGTGACTCTACTGTGATCTTCCCAAGAAGGAATTGTATGCCATCACCATTTTAAACAGAAAGGGCAAGGAGGAATCCCTCATCCCCCTGCTGTGCCAAGCCTTGGTCTTCACATTTTCTGCATCATCTCTTACATTCAGCCAAGAAGTAATCTCATAGAGCCCAGTAAAATGCCTCTTTCCTAGTGAAGGTTTCAGAGTGTTTTATCATCAGCCCTCCCCCCGCCCCCAGGGTTTCAGTGCTGTTACAGTCAGAAAGCATCTTACAAACTCTTAACCAAATAATGTTTTGCTACAGTTGAGACAGTGCTTACTATGTTTAGTTGAAAGCAAAGAAACAAAAACCCTTGCCCTTTTCTTTCTGCCCACACACTATTACTTTGTAGAATTAAGACTTTACATCCTCCCTAAGATCTTTTTCTTTAAGCTAAGACATTTTTCCTACACAGCTCCTTTCTCTCCTTTGCTCTTTTGTTTTAACATTCAGACCTCAGACCTCCCCAGTTCTCAGGTCTTCTGGCTTTCGCAGCATTTCTTTTCTCACGTAGGCTGTGTTGCATGATGTGGGGACTTGGGTTTGTTGGGGAGTTTTTCTTCTTATAATAGTCTCTTGTTTTGTATTCTACTTTCTTGCTCTCCCTTGTTGAATGACACCTCTCCTCCTTTATTCTTTTGAATGATCAAAACAAAATATCATCCTTCAAAGAGTGGTGATTGCTTCACTCTTGGATGATTGTTTGCTGCTGGAGACTCAGCTCTGGCTAGAGTTACCTTTCCACTTCTTGGTTGCCATGCCGTCTTTAGCCTACATTCCTTTCACATGCACAATCTGGGTGGGAAGGCGGTGTTGGGAAATGGTGGGTGAGCAGCATGTCCTGAAGAAAGTGACTGTGTGCTGTTTTGCAGTGCTTCATTTGGTAAAAGTAGTGACCCCACAAGTCCCTACATTTCAGCCAATCGCAATTCATCTCCTGCTACCACACCCATTACCATTGGTTCATCAACCTCTCGGGGCAGCCAGTGGCAACCTGCCTCTTCTTGCCCTGCACCAGTCAGTACAAACACTACTGCATCTGTGCAGCACGTCAGGTAAGGCTTCTTGGAGCCATTTGAGTTGATCATCACAGTTAATGCTTCTGAAAACACATGTGAGATTTGAAGCAAAGAGGCTTTGTCAGTATAGGAGCAAGTTTAAATTCCTGTGACAGTATCCAAAATTTAATGAAGATGCTTTTGTTTTGACATACTAGCTGGTCAGCAGTTGCTTATTGAATAACATTGGGTCCACGTCTTTGTCTTGATGTTCAGAGGTCAACATAGTATGGTTGCTTTCATTTCTTAACCACCTTTCCATTTGTAATTACAGTTTTAGAGTTAGACCCATGATAGTAAATTATGTATTAAAAATATTGTTATATATTTTACTTATATAACATTCTAGTAAGAATCTTATGTATTTAGTCTTTTGGAAGATGACATACAAACTCAGATTAGAAGAATAGCTAATCCATGTTCCCAAAACCTCCTGATTGCCTTCTGAGAAATGCTAATTAGTATTCCTGTGGGAGCACTAAGAGGAGAGAGAGGTTTGTGTTTTCAGGAACTGTTCTGGGAACGTATCATTTTGGTTTTTGCATTCATCTAATGACAGCACAGCAGAGTGTCGTGAAAGCATGTCAGGATTTCAGGTCCTTCTTGTTTTGTTTGTTTGATTTGGTTATTTTGAGGCAGGGTCTCACAATGTAAGCCTGGATAGCTTTGAACTCAATATGTAAATCTGGTTGGCTTAGAACTGAGAGACTGTCTTCTAAGTCCTGGGATTAAAGACATACACCATCACACCTGCCTGACACTCTCTCATACACAATTTATGTGTATGTGTGTATACCTGCTTGTCTGTGTGTGTACCTCATGTGTACAGGGCCTGCTGAGGCCAGAAAAGGGTATTTGACATGGAACGCCATTTTGGAGTGGTTGTGAGCCACCTGTAGTGGGTGTTGGGAACTGAACCAGGGCCCTCTATATGAGCATCAAGTGCCCAAAACCAGAGCATTTCTCCAGTCTTCAGCCTCACTTTGCACTACAGGTTTTTACCCTTTCCTGGGTGTTGGAGGCTGTTTTGTCTTGGTCATAAGGCTTTACAGGTCTTGTGATAGAATGAAAATTAAAAAAATAGAAATGATGGCAGTATTATTGCCAAAACACCTGTTATGGTGGTGCTTGGATGATGTTTGCCAGTTTACTAGATTTCTTTCCCTGTACCAAATAGTCATCATTAATTTGGTTAGAAAGAACTGTTTCATAATGCATTATCATTAATACTGTTATAATTATGTAGAAGTTTCAGGCTTATGAATCCATTAGTAATACTGTATAGTTGCATAGAAATTTATTAGATTCCCATAATAATACAGCTATGTTGACATTATGTATATTATCACTAAAGATGAGAATGCCGACAGGAGAATGGAAGCTTAACTTAGTGGTTTTAGCATGCCTAAAGGCCTGGGTTCAATCCTCAGCACTGAGGAAGTCAGAGCTGAAACTGGACAAAATTTTGTTGAACCCTGTTTTATGGCAGGCGTTAGACTAGTTTCTCTACAAAAGGGACTTGTATGCTGGGATTATGTTTACTCACAAGCAGCAATAAGTCTCTATAATATTGCTTTAAGTACGATAAAGCTTCCTCTTTTTTTCTTATAAGCAAGAAAGCCCAGGATCAGAGCTAGTAGAGTAGCTCCAAAATCATTAAAAGATCCAATGCTTTTTCTTTACTTTATGGAATCTGTTTCCAAGGCTTGCTTCACTGTCCAACGTAATTGCTGAAGCTCTAGCTATGGTGGCTGCATTCTGGGTTGGAGGCAGTAGGCAAGGAGGAAGCAGGCAAAGAGAGACTTCTAAATTAACACTAAATCTATGCTGTGTCTCGTGGGATAGCTCATAGGAGGTAATGAATATTAGTCGGGGAACCCCTGCCTTGGACATTCATGTCATTTATATTTTCATAAGTAGTCCCCTGGTATGTATTTTTAAATGAGGAAAGCAAACCAGAAGCTTAATCATCTGCCCAGATCACATAATCCTTGGGGACTGAAACAGGTTTCATATCCAGAGTAGTTGATGCAAAACCCATCTGTTTTGTCAAGTTTTTTAAAATTTTATTGTGGGTACTATTTAATATTTAAGTGATATATATATATTTTTTTTCATCATCATGAAAACTCTGCATGATTCAGTTTATTTTCTATGTTTTATAGGTGAAGATGTAAGCTCTTTAAGTTGGTTGGTTGTTAGCACTGTGTGGATCCATTGTGCAGCTCCTGATCCTGTAGTAGAGCTTTCCCAGCTGCTCTGAACAGCTTGCTTGTAAAGTTAGAACATGCTTCAAAATAATAGTAATGTCCCATTGGACAGTAAGATAAAATAAAATTTCTGTCATTTCAACAGTCTAAGAGATTGCGAGTTTGACAAGATGGCTCAGCAGGTAAAAGTACATTGGGTACAGGCCTGGCCACCTGTGTTTGAGCCCCAGAATCCATGTAAAGGAGTTGTCCTCTGACTTCCTTGAATATATATTGTGTACACACATGCACACTAATAAATAAAACTTAAAAGAAATTGCAGAGAAGCAAAAACATTATTAATCCAAAAAGAAACTTCAGTAAGCTTTTGTTAAGTATGATCTTACTGAAGGCTTTTTTTTTTTTTTTGGTTTCTGTTGTTGTTATTGTTTTGTTTGCATGATTTTTTTTTTTCCAATGGGAGGGTAGATTCTGTTTCCCAGACTGGTCAATTCTTGAGTTCATGGACGCCTCCTCCTGAGAGTTATAGGTATGCACATTGTTCCTGGGTTGGCTCCATGTTTCCTATGGCCATGCTTCTTGTTAGTTTTATAAGTATTTACTGTATATGAACAAATCTAAGAAATTATTTATCTCCAACTTTTTAAATGAGAAAATGAATATAAAATATCATCTTATGCTGAGATATTAATTCGTTCTGAAGAAGTAGCTCGTTTTTTAAGATATAGTTTCTATCTTCAAAAGTGTTATATTTTTATGTTTCTTAATGCCATGTTTAGACTTTATGTTTCTCTTTTACACTTATTCTAATAATGTGATTATTTGGAAGTGAGCTTATAGCTACTAAACATTTCTGATAATAATTGTGAGTAGGTGAAAAACAGATTTTTAACATTCATGCTTTTCATTGCTTTTCCCATCTCTGCAAGTATCAATTTTGGATCTCTGTTTCCCCAGCAACAAGCTGTGACATCACAAATGATAGCTTTTTGGGTGGAAAGCCAATGGTTGCTCCTGACTCTTTGTTAAGAAACAAAGATCTTCTTTTCACAGAAATGACTTTAATTACACAGCTTGCTGTTGCAGTCTGTAGTTAAGGTTGCATATAGAATGCTGCTTGATTTCTGCTTCAGTCTCTTACTTAGGCAGCTATGAATGTAGAGAATTAGGCACTTGGTTAAATGGAAGAAAGACTGCAGTTGCTGGACTAGGTGAGGGAGAGCCAAATAGACTGAGGTTGTAGAATACTTTTCAATTGGAGAATTCAAGAAGATGATCATCAAATCTAGGCTGAGGACTGCCACAAAGAGTTCCCCTGCCAAGAACTGAGGGAAGGTGGAGACCGCTATCGTAAGTGACTCTAGCGTCTTTCTCACATGTAGTGAGACCCTCTCTCCTTGTGCATGTGCGGAGGGAGGTCAGGTGGCAACGAGTCATTAAGACACTCCTGCATACGGCAGTATCTTGCCTTGTGCCACGGCTGATTTTTGTTTGTTTGTTTTTTAATGTCATGTAAAAAATATCCTATAACAAATAAGTCCTGGGCAGAAGATGTCAGACTAATGTATAATCATACTGTTCCAATATTTACAAGCTCAGAATTAACAAACCAACAAACAAAATCTGAGCAAGAAGATTCTCATTAGACCTGTGCCTCCTTTCTCTGCACCAGCGTCTGCTGTACACCGTACCTGACCATTCTCTTTTTGCTCCTGTCTTTTCTTAATTCCAGGACTCCTTACAAATCTCAGGCTGACTCAACAGCGGAGAAAACAGCAGACAGTGTCTCTTCCAGTACCCCACTGTGTGTGATCACCAACCGCCCTGCGCCAAGCACTGCCAATGGGGTTCCAGCTGCCACAGTGTTCTCCTCCACTGGAATAGACTCCTCTGTGGAAGCACGGGAGAAGAGGAGGTATGAAGTTGCTGGAGCAGTTGCGGGACTATGCTTTGGGAAAAGAGACAGAGAAATGGGTACAAAGTGTCTAATGCAAGCTCAAATAGATCTTAATTTTACTGTTGAGTTATGTCTTAGCTTGGGAGGTTTTTGTGGTTGGTAGAGGTCTTTCTTACTATTTAGCATTATGTTGTGTGTCTAGTCAGAGCCTTTTTTCCCCTCTACTTGTCTTATAATTGACAGACATATTTTTGCCTTTTGTGATGGGGAGCTTGGAACATAGAGAAAGATCTTTTGTTTTGTTCGGAGTTTTCTGTGACAAAGTAATACTGTGATAAAATGCTCAAAGAAGCAGTGCTGGGTGCAAGAGAAGCAGCACTGGGTGCGAGAGAGGCAGTGCTGGGTGCAAGAGAAGCAGCGCTGGGTGCGAGAGAGGCAGTGCTGGGTGCAAGAGAAGTAGCGCTGGGTGCGAGAGAGGCAGTGCTGGGTGCAAGAGAAGCAGCGCTGGGTGCAAGAGAGGCAGTGCTGGGTGCAAGAGAAGCAGCGCTGGGTGCGAGAGAAGCAGTGCTGGGTGCAAGAGAAGCAGCGCTGGGTGCAAGAGAGGCAGCGCTGGGTGCAAGAGAAGCAGTGCTGGGTGTATAGATTTAGTTCGTGGGAGAATAATACCAGGGAAGGAAATGAGCATTTATGGTGATGCAGGGTTGTCACTCCCTTGTCTGCAGTTGTTGAGACTTGCTGTGTGCCCCAGGCCAGCTTTGATCTCTTGGTCCTCTTGCTGTAGCCTGCTTGAGACTAGGAGTGAAGATAGTCACTACTGTGCTCTGCTATACCACAGTGTTTTTAGAGAGAAGTTCTTAGAAAGAAGATGTAGATTGACTTGAGATAGATTAGAAAAAGAGCAGAACTTTTCAGTTAAGATTAAGAGATTGTGGAGTGTGACATAAGGAAGAGGCGTTGAGCTTGAGGCTTGAAGTCTCATAAAATCCAGTGTGCAGGCTATGGTAGAGGGTTTTTCAAGGAAAAGAGCAAACCTTCATCAAGGTTTAGATCTTTCTTTCTTTCTTTCTTTCTTTCTTTCTTTCTTTCTTTCTTTTGTTCTTATTTTTTTTTAGGTTTAGATTTTTAATTTGACTTATTTTCCATATCCAAAAAGATACTTTTCTATCTCTCAGTATGTATATGTGAGAAGCCAGAAAATGTAATCTAAGAGCTTACAGTACCTAATTTTTTAGTTATTTGTTTATTCTGAAGATAACCCAAAGCACACATTTTGAGAAAGGAGGGGAGAAATTAAGTGTATTAAAAAAACAGCATTTTCCTGTTATTGTTCTTTCCATAAAATTTTAAGGAAATCAGTCTGGACTAATAGGGTTCTGAGCCAGTAGTTGTCTTCTTTCCTTTTTAAAAAGACACGTCTATTCATGTACATGTGTGCATGCATGCGTGTTTGCTCGTGAATGTGTGTATGTATGGCATGTGTGTTGCTAGTGCCCTTGGAGGCCAGGGGAAGGGGTCAGAGACCCTGTAGCTGGAGTTACAGGAAGTTGTGAGCCTCATGATATAGGTTCTGGGACTCAAGTTCAGGTCCTCTGGAGGAGCAGCAAGTATTCTTAAGAGCTGAGCTATTTTCCTCACCCTTCAGTTGCCTTCTTTTAATTGACTTCTGGACAAGTATATATTATATACTTATGAATATGTAATGCTTTTGCATTTACTCTAGTGTGCAGAGAAGTACTATTAGTTTCATTCAAGAAACTAAAGAGTTAACTTCCATTAGCTAAAAAAGAAATCACTTTTTAAAAATGTTTCTTAGGGGAGAGGATATGACTCAATTGTAAAGTGTTTTTTGCACAAGTATGAGGGCATGAGTTCAGATTATCAGTAACCACATACTATCAGGACACAGCATCCCCCATCTGTAATCTCCACACTCACCGGTCAGGCAGCATAGCCAATCCATGAGAGACCCTGTCTCAAAAAGTTAAAGTGGAAAAGCAGTTAAGGAAGACACCTTCCCTCACACACAACCGTATGTGAACATGTGCATACTCACACAAACACATAAATACACTCACAGTTCCCACACCAAGTGTTTCCTAGCTGAGAGAACTTAAATGAGTTAGATACATTAAGATTATGATTTTTGGAAAGATAGAGAAATCATGTTTGTTTTCAGGCAGTATGGAATTGCTGCTTCCATTAGAGAATCATAGAGAGCCACTGCCTCTGTGATTTTCATAACCTACAGTAGATAAGGCAGCTCTTTACCAGCTGAGTCAGATTTTGATTCTGTTCAAATCTGGATCTCTGTTTTGTCAGTCCACAGTTATCCACCAAGCACCTTCTCCATAACAAATAGTGTGACCCAGGTACATTTCCTCAAGAAGTAGCACCTATATGAACAAAAAATTAGCTAGGTATGGTGGTGCACACCTTTAATCCCAGCACTCAGAAGGCAGAGGCAAGGTCTCTGTGAGTTCCAGGTCAGCCTGAGATATATAGTGAGACCCTGTCTACATAAAACAAATAAAAGAGTTAAAAAGATTAAACTGAGATATTAATGAACTATAAGTATGGTATATTAAGATGTACATTCCATACATACAAAAATTGATTTTGTTTCTTAGGGAACAGGTCTTGCTATGTCTTTCTGGCTGGCCTGATATTTAACTGTATGTAGCCCAGGATTGCCTTGAACTTATGTCCTCCTGGCTGGCCTGATACTTAACTGTATATAGCCCAGACTTGCCTTGAACTTACGGCAATCCTTTTGCCTCAGCCTCTTGAGTGCTAGGATTACCTATAACACCGTTCCTGACTTCCTATACCAAATTGTTTTTAAAGATTGTATAAGATAACCTCCATGTTATGTGTATAGGGTAGATATGTCAGTTTTTGGACACTAAAAAAAAAAATCTGAGAGAAATTTTTTGAAGGAGGAAGGTTTATTTTGTTTATGGCTTCAGAGATTGCACTCTGGCCAGCTGGTTCATTGTTTCTGGGCCTGCGATGAGACAAAACATGGTAGAAATGTGGATGAGCAAAGCTGCTCATGCCTGGCAACCACGAAGGCAGAGAGCGGCAGAGAGCTCGCCTGGAACAATGTTGCTCCTGGGAACATCCCTCCATTGACCAGTCCCACTAATGAAGCCATTCTTCTGAATGTCTGTAATACTGCCTGCTCAACAAGCTGTCACTGTCTGGTCACTGCCCTGTTGTTGGACCTACTATCTAGAGTCCAAGTGCATGAACATGTTGGGGACACACCATATGAAACCTAGACGAGTCTTACATTTAGATGTGGATTTCATATCCAAAGTAACTCCTGATGTTTATGAAAATACTTCAAACTCTGATATGTTTCTGGTTCCCAGCAGTTTAGTTAAGAGATGTTCAGCCTGTGCCATAAAGAGATAGTGTGAGTTATGAACAGTGTGTTAACAGAGATCTGCTTATGAATACTTCTCCTGGGGGACTCCTGGAGGCTGTCATGAGAGTGTGGTACTTAGACAGAGGTCTATAGGATAAGTAGTAGCTATGTAAGAACATGGAGGTTATCTTATGCAATCTTTAAAAATAATTTTGTATAGGAAGTCAGGTACGGTGTTATATGTAATCCTAGCACTCAAGAGGCTGAGGCAAGAGGATTGCCATAAGTAACAGTAGAAAGAACTTTTTTTAAAAAAGATTTATTTTATGTGTATAAGTGTTTTGCCTGCTTGTATATGTGCACCATATGTGCCTGATGCCCAAGAGGTCAGAAGAGGGTGTTGGATACCTAGAACTGGAGTTATGAATTGTTGTGAACCACCATGGTTGTGAGTACTGAGAGCTCCTGGATTCTTTGCAAGAGCAACAAGGGCTCTTAACTTCTGAGCTATCTCTCAGCCCCTAGGGGATGAACTTTCTAAGCAAAGTTGTGACAGTTGAAAGACAGTAAGTGGTAAGTGGAGTAAGGTTGTTTGAAGAAACTACAAGATGTTTTTTTATTTAAATGAAACATGAAGGAAGAGTGGTTTAAGATGAGGCTTGAGGAGGTCGGAGGTAACTATATCATGTCAGCATCTTTTAGCCAGTGATGAGGATTTGGGATTTATATACTATGAACCATGATGGTTTGGTAGAATTTTTCCAACAGCTTTATAGAGACATAATGCATATACCATATTTAAAGTGGCAAGACATTGTCTTATTTTATTTTTAGATTTTTAAATTTTATGTGTGTGAGTGTTTTGCTTGCATGTATGCATGTATGTGCATCATGTGCATGCCTGGTGCCTGTGGAGGTTACAAGAAGGATATTAGATCCTTGGAACCAGAGTCATAGATGGTTCTGAGCCAGCATGTGGATGCTAAGAACTGAACCTGGGCCATCAGTAAGAGTAACAAATACTCTTAACCACTGAGCCATCTCGCCATCCAAAGACACTGGTTTTTAGAATATGGACTAATCAGTGTTAACTATTGGCACAGTAAATTTTGAACATTCTCATTGCTTGTAATAGAAATCCTATACCTATTTCTCTCATGTGTTAATACCTGCTTTCCTGCAATCTAAGCAACTACTGATATATTTTCTGTTTTTCTTATTTTCAACCTTTTGTGTAAAATGGAAACGAGATGAGGAGTTATGACTGGCCTTTTTTTGGTATATTTTCAAAGTACATCCATGTTGAGGCATGTATCAGGACTCGATTCCTTTTTATAGTCTACCATTTGATATTGTTTGTTTATTCATAAATTGATGACATTCACATTATTTCTACCTATTAGCTGTTATGAATAATATTACTATAAAGATTTGTGTATATATTTTTATGTGGTCATATTTCTCAGGTATATAATACTAGTGGATTTTATAGGCAATATGCCACTAGACAATTTTAAGCTTAAGGTATCATGAATGTTTTTTAAGTTCTGGATTTTAAACTCTGTCTGAAGTTATTATACAGGAGCAAATGGGTAATGAGTGTGAAATGACTAGTAAAGAGACTGTTACAAAAGAAAGGCACATAAGA